CGCAGAATGGCGGCCGCGAACCCTTCCGGGGTCAACCCCCGCCGCTTCCGGGCTGAAAGACGCCCCTTCCCGTCTCGCGAAACACTCCTTCCGGGTCACGGCCTCTACATCCGGCGAGGTCAGGACAGGGCTTCCGCGTTCGTCGCCACTACCTCAGGTGGACGTGGGGAAGGCTCAGTCACATGACTTCCGTAGTTACCGTCGCTACTTCCGGTCAGTCATACCACTTCCGGTGGCCAGCCTTACCTGCTTCCGGGGAGTGAGAGAGTGCTGAAAGCTACTTCCGCTTTGGCTCCCGCTAAATATTATCTTGTGCCCAGCCGCCGTCGGACTGTACCATTCCTGTAGTAGAAGGGGGGGGTGACGTGCCCCTGAGGGCTGGAGGGAGGCTACTCATCCTAGGCCTTAAATAACATTACCTTAATTGGGGAGGAGGGTTAACACCCCCATTAAAAGGCGGAGGATGGTATGGCCCATACACTGCTCTCGAGGCATGTAGGAACACATCAGTGGGAGAATAAGTGGGGGGGCAGAATTGTTATCCCCCTGCTCAGGGAACAGTGGTATGACCCACGTATGCTGTAAGGGGGAGAATCGTATCGGGGTAGAAGGAAGGAGGAAAGATTCCCCCCCCAGGGGAAAGGATGGTGTAATCCATTTGCTGCTCTGGATGCGTACAGGCAAATACCATTGACAGTACAAAGGGGACGATTACCCCTCTCCCTTACAAAAGAAATGGTATGACCCACACTTCGTCGGGGGGTGGGGGGGGATACTATTAGGAGTACAAGGAGGGAAAGTTTCCCCTCGGGAGTGGATAGCGTTGTATGATCCACATGCTGCACTGGATGCATATTGGGAAATGCTATTGGTAGTAGAAGGGGTGGAATCTTAGGCCCCCCCCAGAGGAAAAAGTGGCATGACCCACCTACTGCTCTGTAGGCACAGAGGGACATACCATTGTAAGGAGAAGGGTGAGAAAAATGTCATTTCCCCCACTGGAAGGAAGAGATGGTATGATCCAGAAGGGGGGAGATTGATTTTCCCCACCAAGAAGGCATGGCACAATCCACACAGTCTGGTGCATCCTTAATGGCATGTACCATTGATGGATTGTGGGGGTGGATTTTGCACCCCTGCAGCACAGCGCCCCCTGGCGCTGTATGAGGGCAGCGCCTGCAGTGGCTCAGTCTCCATCCCAGCTGGCTGCCCAGTGCTGGGAGAAAACCCAGGCGCATGGGCTCTCAGTCATCCCAGCTCTAACCCCCGAGTCCGACGCCCCTCCCAGGGCACAAGAGAACCGGCTCCTGCTTCCAGCCCCCAGACTCTGCTTCCTTCCCCTAGCTCGAGAGCCCAGCCATCCCGGCTTCCAGCCCCAACTCCTCCCCGAGCAGGAAGAGAACCCAGGTGTCCCGGCTCCCAAGGCCTGTTTAATTCAGGGCAGAAGCTACGCTACTTCAGGGCCTTCTCAGGTGGATCCAGAGGTGGGTCTCGGCCCTTGTCCGCGGAGACCTGTCAGGAGGGCACAGCATCCATCATGGCAAGGGAGAGAACCCAGGTGTTCGGGCTCCCCCCTTAATTTACCAGACCCTGCTCCTCTCCTACAGCTGGAGGGAACCCAGGCGTCCGGGTAGGGGGCTCCTGTTCATACCTGCTGAGGGGGGGCCCTGGTGCCCCGCCTGCCTCCACAGCCCGGTCTCCTCGATGCCCAGCGCCTCCAGCACCTGGGAGAAGCGGTGCTCTATGGCCCGGCGGGCACCGGCCTGCAGGGCAGGGGCTGTCAGCTCCCAGCCGCCCCAGCTGTAAGCCCCCAAGTCCCACGCCCCTCCCAGAGCACGAGATAACCCAGGTGTCCGGGGCGGGACCCGCACCTGCATGACCCTCTCAAAGAGGTAAGGCCGGCTGCTCACGCGAGCCTCCATCTCCCGCAGCTGGGCCTTGTACAGCGCCATGCGCGCCCGCTCCTGAGACCTGGGGGGGCAAGTCACATAGGGGGCAGGTTACAGGTGCCACCCCCACCCTCCCAGCTGTCAGGGGACCCCTGCAGACCCTCCTGCCCTGGGCTTGGGCTCCTGCGGGGGTCTATAGGACTTGGGATTTCTTGGCGAAGTCTATAGGGGCCGGAGAGTCTATAGAGGCTAGCTAATCTCAGAGGATCTATAAAGGCTGGGTGTTCTCTATTGGCAGGAGCCATGTAGTTTTCCTAGAACGGCTGTGATCTGTAGGGAATTGATAAGGATTGAGGGGTGTCTATAGGCCCTGGGACCTATAGGAAATCTTTAAGGGCTTGGCTTCTATAGTCTGGGCTCTATAAGGGCTGGGGGTTCTATAGGAAGGGGAATCTGTAAGGGCTGAGGAGGTTCTATAGGGCATCTGTAACGGCTAGAGATTCTTTAGGGATTGGATGTCTACAGGGCAGGGGGCTATAAGAGGTGGGGAGGTTCTATAGGGCACATATAAGGGCTAGGGGCTGTGTAGGGGTTGGATCTTTAGGGTTTTATTGGGTCATAGATGCCAGGGTCAGAAGGGACCTCAACAGATCATCGAGTCCAACCGCCTGCCCAGGGCAAGAAAGAGTGCTGGGGCCAGATGACCCCAGCCAGGTGCCTATCCAGCCTTCTCTTAAAGACCCCCCAGGTAGGGGAGGGCACCGCCTCCCTCGGCAGCCCATTCCAAATTCTGGCCACCCTTACCGTGAAGAAGTTTTTCCTGATATCCAGCCTAAATCTGCTCTCTGTCAGTTTGTGACCACTGCTCCTTGTTACCCCAAGAGGCCCCCTGGTGAACAGAGCATCTCCGATCCCTTGCTGCGTCCCGCTAATGAATTTGTAGGCGGCCACAAGATCACCTCTCACCCTTCTCTTGCGGAGGATGAAGAGGTCCAGGTCCCTCAGTCTCTCCTCATAGGCCTTCTCCTGTAAGCCCCTGACCATACGAGTGGCCTCCTGTGGACCCTCTCGAGTCTATCAACATCCTTCTTGAAGTACGGCACCCAAAACTGGCTGCAGTACTCCAACTGTCCGACCAAGGGGAAGTATCACCTCCTTGGATCTATTTGTCGTGCATCTGCTGGTGCACGATAAAGTGCCATTAGCTTTGCTGATGATTTCGTCACAATGACGACTCATGTTCATCTTGGATCCACTATGACTCCAAGATCCCTTTCTGCTTCTGTGCTGCTGAGAGGGTCACTTTCCAGGCAGTAGATGTGCTGGATATTTTTGCACCCTAGGTGCAGCACTCTGCACTTGTCCTTGTCATACTGCATCCTATGGTGTACTGCCCACTTTTCTCACCTCTCCAGGTCTGCCTGCAATTGTTCCCTACTCTCCGGAGTGTGCACTTCACCCCACAATTTAGTATCATCCACAAACTTGGACAGAGTACACTTCACACCCACATCCAAGTCACTGATGAAGATATTGAAGAGTCCAGGTCCAAGGACTGAACCCTGCGGGACCCCACTACCCACATTCATCCAGGTCGATACCTACCCATCTACTACCACTCTCTGGGTTTGACCGCTGGGCCAATTTGCCACCCACTGAACCGTGTAAACATCTATGTCACAGCCTCTTAATTTATTTCTGAGAATAGGATGAGATACCGTATCAAAGGCCTTGCTAAAGTCCAAGAAAACGACATCCACCTCTACTGCATCTAAGCATTTTTTACACAGTCATGAAACGAAACCATATTGGTCAGGCATGATCTACCTGCTACGAATCCATGCTGGCTGCCCTGTTGCATTACTTTTCCCGCTGGACTCCCATAAATATGATCCTTCATGATCTTTTCAAAGACCTTTCCAAGGATGGAGGTGAGACTGACTGGCCTATAATTACTCAGATCCTCCTTCCTCCCCTTCTTGAAAATAGGGACCACGTTGGCCCCTTTCCAGTCCTCCGGGACCTGGCCTGAGTGCCACAAGCGCTCAAACAGCCATGCCAGTGGTTCTGCTATGACACGGGCCGAGTCCTTCAGTACCCTCGGATGCAGCTCATCCGGGCCTGCTGACTTGAACACATCCAGTCCATCCACGTGACTCTGCACCAAGTCAGTGTCAACAGTTGGTAGGGTGGTGTCCCTCTGATGCCCGTCTAAGAACCCATTGGGAGACTTATCTGGAGCCCTGTTCAGGAACACCAAGGGACCTGCATTAGGTGGAGGTCCTGCACGCAGGTTAAGAACCTACGTGAACAGTTGGATTTGGCTGACTGCTTCTCCCAGCACATGTCCGGGTATGTCCCTAGACCGTATGGCTTCTGAGAGTTGCCTCAAGAATTCCAAGTTGAGCTTTTCCTCTTGGTGTGGTAGTCTGTAGCAGACCCCTACCACCAAGTCCTTTTCCCCTCAACCTCCACATATCCAAACCCACAATGCCTCTACTTTCTCCTCCTCTGATCCCATTTTGGTTAGGGTGGATGTATAATGCTCCTTTACATAGAGAGCAACCCCACCCCCTTTCCTCCCTACTCTGTCCCTTCTGTACAACCTGTAGCCCTCAATGTGTACCACCCAGTCATGGGTAGGGTCCCACCAGGTTTCCATTAGCCCCACTAAATCAAAGTTATTATCTGCAACC